TTCTTTTTTGAACTGTGGCTCTCGCCTGAGCGCCGCGCACAATCGTTGTAACAAATTGTAAGAGTTTCGCGGATTTCCATGATCATCATACCAAATTTGTGTCTTTGGAAGGATTCAAAATTATGGTGGTGCAACAGATACGTTGATTCTCTGTGTTGAAGTCTCAGGAATGGTGTTCTGGCACGGTTCAAGATCGCTAAAACGCAACAGTCATGTTGATCCGTGGCCTTGGATTCCCGAGAACATTGTTTTGGCATGCTCCAGGGTCTTTCAACGGTTGACTTTCAACGAGGCAGTTCCCTCAGTGGAAATGAACCGCTGTATGGGGCCTCAAAAGAGGGAGCTTGGAGGACGGGTTGAATCCAACATCGTTGATGACTCTTGGGTTTCCATTGGTCCTCCTCTTTCTCTTCCTTCTCCCGCCCCTCCGCTCCCCCCCTCCTCCTGAAGGTCCGTCCCTCCATCCCCCCCCCTCTCTTGAGGAGGGGGCGCGGGACGAGGTAAGCTGCCCGCCCCTCCCGCGCATCCGTCGGCCCATCTTGGGCTCGTTGCTCGTGTCGGCCGCTTGTATATGGAACTAGTTGTGGTCATGGCATGGGCTATGTCCGTGTGATCTTTGCGGAGGGCCCCCCTCCCCCTCCCTTCCACCCCCGTCGCCGAGGCCGCGGGCACCGCCCTCTCCGCCGCGGCAGCGCCCTTCGACCCGCTCGGGCTGGGCGGTGCGCCCGCCGCGGACGCTGGCGGCACGGGGCGAGCCGCTCCGGAGCCAGGCAGCCCCGCGGAGGAGGAAGGAGGCGGGAGGGGGCAGGGAGGGAGGGAGTCATTTAGTTATGCTCCCCTTGTGTGCCCTGCCGGAGCCGCCGCCGCTTCCTGTTACATAGATTGGCGCGGGCAGCGTACCCATCATACTCTCGTGCACTTGTGGCGACAAGTGCATCACATACCAGGCCTAGCTTGGGACCACAACTGCAATAACCAAAACATCATCAACAAAAACTTATCAACAGGATCCATGTATTGCCCGAGCCTATGGTGTATCGGCAAAATGCGGGTTATCAGCCGACAGTTCCACCACGAGATCGCGAAGCTGTGCTCCCTGCCTCGAAAGTTGATGTACCAGGTAACGAAGAGCAGTGTCGCGGCTTCGAGCCCGAGTCCCCAAACTGTGTTAGGGGCTCCGGCTCGCGTCTTTCGCATAATCTCAGCAAGAGCTTCTCGCTGTCGTCGGGATATACGCTGGCGCAAGGAGGCCCTGGTCGTCACGACGCGCCGCGAGCGAACGCAGACAACGAGGAGGCGGACGCCGAATGGTATGGATCGAGCAACTGGGGCGAGCCACCATTGCCGCCCGGCGTCCATCAAGCCTACGTGATCTCCTCCAGCTCGGCTACACACATGGACGTTCACGTATCCGTGGCGTCGGAAAAAGCGGGGTCAGTCAAGCCAGCTCCCCGCCTAGACCCAGAAACGGCTCTTGAATCTCATCGGGGGATTGATTCCAACGCCTGTGGTCTCGGGTCATCCCCGATATTGACTTAGGAGCCGTCGCCGACGTCAGTGCCTCTTGACGATTGTGTCGCATATTCATCATGTGAATACCCACGCGGGGAAATTTCGGACATGATGGCCGGCCTGCCCGCGGCCGTCCAGCAGAACGCTGAAGAGGCAGCCGATCGAGAGTGCCTTCGGCGAAGCAGCCATGGGCGGGTTCCAGATTGTCAGTCAGATCCCCACTCGTGAAGTGGACCAAGACGGAGGGAATACCACAGGAGAGCCAGATGCTCGAATCGGGAGGTGGCCCGGGGGGCTGTGCTCCTGGGTCGCCTCCCCCACCGGTCAGTCCGCAGAGGAGTTCGCGTGCTGGGCGCTTGATTTTCAATGCAGCGAGGGCCCCCGCCCCCCGCGCTCGCTCTCTGCGAGCCAGGGGCACGGGGCCCGACCGACGTAGGACCTTGAGGGCCCCGTCCGGCGCGTCGTCGTCCTTCGCGCGTACGGCGCGCTCCGACGCATCGTGTTTCCGCGTCGGTGAGCTGCGTGCCCGCAGAGGCCCTGGGTGCGCGGCATTCCCTGAACAGTGCTGCTGGGGCAATCGAGGATAGCGTAAGAAGGCAGTCAGTCGTGCGTGTTCGGTCAGTTGCCATCATTGCAACTCGATGTTCCTTTGCCCGGCTGTCTCCCCTTCCAGCGCATGCATGCGTGGCGCTGCGCAGCCGCGATGGGGGCAGGCCGAGGAGAGAGGGCGGGAGGCAATGGCCGAAGCAAGCGGCTGGGAGATGGCGCGAATGAGAGACCAGATCTTAAGAACCGAAGTCCATCTCGGCGCGGCTGCTCGCGTCCAGGCCGAGAACGACCGCATCGCGATGATTCCCGCCATGGGGCAGGCTGAGGAGAAGCAGCGAGCTGTCGCCTCGGAGCAGGTGGTGCGAGCGTCAGCGGAGCTCCGTGATCTGGCCTTGAGTGTGTGTTTTGGATGCAAGCTATCCTCATCAGCTAAATTCAAAAACTCGAATCATATTCTGATTCGACTTTGATTCAACTACTGGAACTCGTTTATATATATATATATATATATATGTTTGTTTTTGGTTTTTGTTGTTATATATATATGTTTCTGTTGGAAGCTCGGATTAATTAACTCTGGCTCGGCTCTGTCCCCAGCCAGAGCTGAATCAGGGATCCAGACCAGAGCTAAATCAGAGTTTCAGCGAAACCAGAGAAAAGGAACCATAGCTTCAGGTCAGAGCCAAATCAGAGTTTCAGCCAAACCAGGGAAGAGTTTCAGGCCAGAGCCAACATAGAGCTGAATCAGAGTACCATCGGAGAGAGTTCTGGCAGTCCCGGGCGGAGGGCGCGGGCGCGCTGCGTAAGTGCGCTTGTCCTCTCTCCTTGCCCCTCCTCCCTCCTCCCCTCGCTCTCTTTCCTACCTCGTCTATCCCCTCCCTCTTTCCTCCGCTTCCCTCTCCCTCCTTTTCCTCCTCCCCCGTTCGCGTCCCTCTTCCCCCCTCCCCCCTCCCGCCCTCCTCAGTCTGTCTCTTCCCTCCTCCCCTTTTCCCCGCCCTCATCCTCCACCTTCCCTCCTCCTCCTCCTCCTCCTCCTCCTCCTCCTCCTCCTCATCTTCCCCCCCCCTTGGCTTCACTAGTCCCGTTTCCTCCTTCTTCGGTCGCCGTCGCCCTCCACGTGCTGTCCCCCCTGCTCTCGGCCCCCATTCTTCCCTTAGTCCTTTTGTTCCTCCTCCTCCTCGTCCTCCTCATCCTCCCCCTCTCCCTCCTCCGTATCGAGCGTCAGTCTTCGCTCCTCGGCCTCAGTGTCCCGCCCTCGTTCTCGCCCTCGATTCCCCCCTCGCCCCAGGCCCCGCGCCTGGCCTCGTTTCCGCCCTCGCCCCCGCGCCCGCCTTCGCCCCCGCCCGAAGCCATTTTCACTTCAACCCTATTTCTCGCCTTTGCCTTCGATCCCGTCCTTGCTCTCACCGTCGTTCCCGCCGTCTTTCCCGCCCTCGTTCCAACTTTCGTTCCCGCCCTCGTTTTCGCCTTCGCTCCCGCCGTCGCTCCCGCCCTCGTTCCCGCCGTCGCTCCCGCCCTCGTGCTCGCCCTCGTTCCAGCCCTGGCCCCCCCCCCCTGGCGTTCTCGCCTTCGTTCTCGCCTTCGCTCCCGCCCTCGTTCCCGCCCTCGTTTCCGCCCTCTTTCTCGCCCTCGTTCTCGCCATTGTCCCCGCCTTCGTTCCCGCCTTCGCTCCCGCCCTCGTTGTCGCCATCGTTCCCGCCCTCGTTCCCGCCCTCGTTTTCGTCTTCTCGCCCTCGTTCCGGGGCCGCCCGGAGGCCGCCCAGGGAGCCCCAAGGGCCGCCTGGGGAAATCACACTTGAAACAGAGTTTCGGCCAGACCTCAAGCAGACCACAGACCTTGAACATACCTCAATCAAACACACTTTTATCAGAGCTAATTGGCCCCAAACAGACCTCAAACATACCTCAAACAGACCTTTAAACATACTTTAAACATACATCAAACAGACTTTGAACAGACCTCCCGGAGGTTCCCCGGAGGTTCCCCGGAGGTTCCCCGGAAGTTCCCCGGAAATTCCCGGGAGGTTCCGGTTCCCCGGAGGCGCCCAGGGAATTCCCGAGGTGCCTGGAAAAATCCCGGAGGCGCCCAGAGGAGGCCCCCCGCCCTCACCACCCTCACCACCGCCCTCGCTCCCCCCTTTGTTACCGCCTTCGCTCCCGCCATCGTTCTCGCCTTCGTTCTCGCCTTCGTTCCCGCCCTCGTTCCCGCCTTCGTTCCCGCCTTCGTTCCCACCCTCGTTGTCGCCATCGTTCTCGCCCTCGTTCCCGCCCTCGTTTTTGCCTTCGTTTTTTCTTTCGTTTTTGCCTTCGCTCCCGCCGTCGCTCCCGCCGTCGTTCCCGCCGTCGCTCCCGCCCTTGTTCTGGCCCTTGTTCACGCCCTCGCTCCCGCCCTCGTTCCCGCCTTCGTTCCCGCCCTCGTTCTCGCCCTCGTTCTCGCCTCCGCTTCCGCCTAGTTCCCGCCATTTTTATCTTCCCCGTTCCCGCCATCGTTCCCGCCTTCATCCCCGCTTTCGCTCGCGCCCTCGTTCCCGCCCTCGTTGTCGCCCTCGTTCCCGCCCTCATTCTCGCCTTCGTTGTTCCCCTCGTTCTCGCCCATCGCCCCCGCCCCCGTTCCCGCCCCAGTTCCTGCCATGGCCGCCGCCTTCGTTGTCGCGATCGTTCCTACCCTTGCCCCTTGTCCCCGCCTTCGTTCTGGGCACCTCCCAGGGCGCCTCCCGCGCCCCCGAGTTTTGCGAAACGTGCAGCGCTTCTCCTCTGCACGTCCTGCCCCCGACCTGTCCTGGGCGGGCGGCGGGGATTGGGGCTGTCACCGCGATGCGCATCCAGTCGCGGCGCGGCAGCCGGCAGCCCTGAGGAGCGAGACTCGGGCGAGCTTTTTTTCGCCCCAGCTGCCGTTGAGCAGTTTTGTGCAGGGCCGCGCAGGCGGGGGGCGCTGCCCCGCCTCAGCTCGCAGTGTTTGATAGCTGGCGGCTGGGCCCCCAGCCGTGACCAGCCGCTGTTCTTGGCGCGCGCGCGGGGCCGACCCGGCAGCATTCTGGGCCGACGCCGCGCCATTGGTTTCGGCGGGCCCAAGCCAAAATATAATCATACTTAATTCAGAGTTCCCAGTCAGACCTAAGTCAGACTTGGGCCTTAGGGCCAGAATTAGATCAGAGTTCCAGTCAGACCTAAATCGGCGTCGGTGCTGAGGGCCAGACTTGAAGCAGAGTTCCAGCGCAGACATGAATCAGACCTTCATCCGAGTTTTGGGTCTGAGCAGAGAAACAGAGTTTGCCCCCCCAAAGACACATTCGAAACTGGCCCGCACGGTCGAGGCCCCTGCAGCCGCCGCGAAGAGCGCCCGGGCCCTCGAGCGGAGTATCGCAGAGTAGGCTTATCGCGTCGTCCGGGGGGCCGGAGAGACCCGGCAGCTGACGATGGCGAGAGTCGCCGAACTCTTAGGAGTTCAAGCCAGCCGAGCTGCGCGACGCCCCCCTTGAGGCGGAGGCAAGGTCGGCGGTTCAATGGGCCCCGGGCAGATCAACCGAGCGCCGCGGCTGCTTCGAGTGCGCGGGGGAGGGCGCAGTTCGCTGCCCGAGCAGCAAGCGCAAATTGTGATCGCGCCGCCGCTGGAGTTCGCGACGCGTTGGAAAGGGCTCAGCGCGTAGAAAGTAGCAGGTGAACGGCGACGTGCACATCGCGGCGCGGAATGCCGAGATGAAAGCTCCGCGGGCGATGGCGCCCGGGCCGGCGACGCGGGCCCGGCGCCTGGGTGGGGCTGCGGCGTTTCTGGTGTAACAGTCGCGGCCGTGACTTTCTGCGGCGCGCGAGGTCATCTTGTGGCTTTCGCTGCGATGCGCTGAGAAAACAGCGTCGCCTGCGCGGGTGATTCAGCGGGGAAAGGCCCAGGGGCCGAGAAAGAGCACGGGGGAGGAGAGGGGGGGGGGGCGCGGGGCGAGAAGGGTGCTCGAGGGGCGGGCCGCGCCCCAATGTGCGCCTGGACTGGGGCCCGTTAACTGCCCAGGGTGCAGAGGGCGACGTCTCCAGACGACTGAACGCGTTCGAGGGCTCTGCCGGGGCCGAGCGCCAGGGGCTCGCGGAGGTGCTCGCGGAGATGCTCGCGGGGGCGACGCGGAGCGTGGGGGGCCGCGCCGAGGCGACGGCCCGGGGGCGGGGGCTGCGCGCTGAGGAGTGAACAGTTGGAAGCCAGCCCCAGCCCCCACAACTATGGATTTTACATGTCGGCGTTTTGCATGCACGGCGACTGCGAGTAAGTGTAGGCGCCCTCTCGGCGAGGCCATTGCCGGCGGCCGCCGGGGGGGCCCGCGCGCGCGGCGACGTGCTGGGCCAGCTCGACGCGGCCGCGCCCGCGCCGGCATTCCCGGGGCCGCGCGTGCCGCGGCCGCGGCGTGCAGTTTGAGGCGACGGCGGCGCCGCCCCTCGCGCGGCAGCGCCGCTCGCCCAGCCGCGGGCCCCCGCCCCCGCCTCCGTCGCCCCCTCGCAACCCGCCGACAAATGTAGGTCGGGGGCGTTTCTCTCTTGAGGCAACTGTTCCAGCATTTTTTTTTTTTTTGGGGGGGGGCGTTTGCATCTGCGTTTTTGTTTATGTAGGGGCTTGTCGGGGTTATTGAGTTTATGTGACCTTTTTTTCGCCTGGTGCCTATGCTTTGTTTGAGGTTGGCCTGAACTTTTCCATGCGCGCCCGCGCGGGGCGGGCCTCGGGCGCCGCCCCGGGCTCTTGCCGGCCCCGCCAAGAGCCGACGCGCCCCCGGGTTTCTGCCCCGGCACGAGCGCGGAACATCCGCGATGATTTGGGGCATTGTCAGCGCGCGGGCGCAAGGTGGCGCCAAGTAGCGTGGCAGCAGCGCGCCGTCTGCATTGAATTGCGCGGCTTTGTCGTTGGCTGACCGTCGAGCTGCTTGCAATTGCAGTTCGCGTGTAGTCTGATGTCCCCACTAGTCTCAAATTCGTCATGTGGGGGGTGGGGGCTGTTTTTTCACGCGTTCAAGAAGCGCGTGGAGGTCGCAGCCGACGCCGAGAAGCAGACTCGGGAAGAGGGGGGGTCCAGAGAGGAGGTAGGGCGCCGCTCGAAAGAGGAGAACGCCGAGCGCGCCCAGGCCGTTCCAGCCGCGTCTTTCCTTGGCGGCCCCGAGAAACCAGGCGGCGGCGATGGCGGCGGGGGCGGCGCCTTCCGCGGGCCGGCCAAGGCGGCGCCTGCTAAGCGGCCGCGCGACTGGTCCGCCAGGCGATGATGACGACGATCAGGATGGCGACTGGAATGGGGGTCCTGGCGGCTCCGACTCGGAGGGCGACGAAGACGAATCGTCCGACGATGAAGATAGCGGCGATGGAGACCGTCGGCGCGGCCGATGCGATGGGCTCCTGGGAGGTTCGCTTCGCGGCGGCGGCGGGCGCCCTCCCCGACGGAGTGCCGGGCGCTGTTGCTCGCTG